TGACCCTTTATTTACTTTATCATCTGCTCTCCGTGAATGGAGCCATTTTTGCGGAAAATTCAGGTTTGTAAAATCCTCAATATAGCATTCTTCTTCTTCTTCTTCATGTTTTTATCCGTCATACATTAAAAGCTTTCATTATATGTCCATTAAGTCCACTGCAGTGGAAAATCTTGGCATGAACATAAGTAGGAAACCTATAAGAGAAAGTCTTTTAATTGCAAAGAGTTACATTGATTAGAGGCCATCCCTCTGAAACAACATATAATTGTGCGATGAGGTCCTTTTTAGCTGAGGCCTTGAGGTGAACCCAGCTGATCATACGTGGAAAGAACTGTCTAAGAGAGAACACTGCGTCAACGACTACCTTTAAGGACTATCGTCGGTTGATGGTTTGGATAGCTATCAAATTTGGACAATGCCCAGTCTGGCGGTCGACTACGAACACCATCAACAGCGTGGTCTTAATCGATATTTTCAAGGATACCTTTGGCCACATCGGCAGTCACAGACGGAGGAGTGAAACTACAATTTTACACGACAATATTCCTCTTCATCGTTCTAAAGAGGTATGAATCTGAGAACGCTTGAAACTATAATCTGAAATATTAGACAACAGCCAACCTCTCCGCATGCGGCCTCAAAAAGACGTCTGCTCCTGTCAACTGCCCGGATCCTAATCCAATCGAAAACCATTCTGCAATTACAAAGAAGTGACCCAAGGCAAGGAAGAGTCTGTCCACACAAGAACAACTTGAGTTTGTACGAAATAATCAGACTGAATAAACAGCTATAGGTGGCCTGCCTACCTCCACCTCTAACAGACTGCATGCTTTTTTAGATGTGACTTGACAGTCCATAAAGTACTGAGTTTTCATACTTATTAGTATCTTCCATTACCTTCCAATTTTTTGTGTGTCCCCTTCCTTATGCAACTTTACGGTTAGCCTTATTTCAATGCTTACCAAGATAGCCATTATCTGAAATTCAAATACTCACTGAAAATTATGGATTTTTGTAGATAGAAGGTCACTACCGGCAAGGAATAGCGAGAGAGGAATAGACATTTCTAGGTTATAAGTAGTCATCAGCCAGTCATATTCATCGTCAAGTTTTACGAATCCAGAGGCTCGAACCCGTGACCCGTTGGTTAGAAGCTAAACGCTCTAACCACTGAGCCGCAGGCTCGTTGTCCTGTAGATTGGGATCGGATAAATGAACCATGGTAGAGGAGGTGCTCACGGCTCGTGTTACGGGATACTTGTCCCGTTGTGCCTTGGGGTTGCAAAACCTGGAGTTGCTTAGCGGCTAGTGAGCCAGACAGTCTCCATTGTATTTTTTCGGTAATGCCACCCTGCCTATAATAGTAGTCATTGAACGCATGCTGGTGGACTCCAAAAGAGTGGGTCCCATAGCTTGATCAGTGAGCGCTCATTTACTATTGTTAATTATTTTCATGTCAGTAAACATTAATTTATTTATCAAACAGTGTCTACTTCTTAAGGATAGTCGTTCCTTTGCTGTTTTTGGAGGGGAATTCACAGAACAGGGATTTTCTGACGAAATTCATGAAATTTCATGATTTAAAAATCTAATGTAATAGCTAAAAACCCTAACACGCGTGTTTCGCATGACGCACCTGTAAGGAATTCAGCCCACCAGGGGCTCCCCCAGCGTTCCACATGTGCCTTTTGACATGCAGAATTCCAGTTCCAATGCTGTCCTTTTTAATTTCCTCTGAAA